CCTTTAATATGTCTTCAAATATAAATAAACATCTCGTTGATATTTTCAGTAGTAAATGGTACCAATAACAGCACATTTGAGCAATGCAATTGTAGTTGATAAAATGGTCAATTTTTCCGTGCAGTACTGTACGGATTATACGCTCCTCACCGGTTAAGAGTTTGGCCGAGAGTTGTCTCCTTCCTTTTCTAGCCTAGTGCTGTTCTTTTCTACTTTGCGCCGGTCAAACTGAAGGTCACATAGCTACAGAATGTAAACGAAGTATAATGCAAGTTTAACTAACGCAATTTCGCTTAAATTGGTGTGGATGTATATTGCTCCAATCCGTAACTATCTTTCTTAATATCTAATCTTTACAGCATCCTCAAAGGGTGGAGGCTCAGCTGTCGTATAAGAAGTTTTACTTGAATGCTTTAGAATGTTTTATCAATTTCTAATGCACGGTGAATAACACGAATATACGGACACAGTCCAATAGACAGACGGATTATATTTTATGTGATGGTTATAGCACCAGCGATATCTCGACATCGCATGAATAAAATATTTTTTTGGATTTATTTTTGGGATTGGTTATCTTTTTCTTTTCTACTTCTAAGGAATAAACAGTGAAGCATTTAATTAAGTGAACATAAGTCAATAATGATTGTATCTTGAAGAAGCAAGAAGAAGTAAATTGCGGCTCTTAGAGTGTAGTACTAGATTATTGAAGTACATTAATACCGTTGGTTTCAAAAATTGCTCCCAAGATTATAAAAAGCTTAAAAACTAAAACAGTATGCAGATGAAGATGAACTAAGTTGGCAAAAAAGAGAAAAGCATTAACATTTATTTGTCAGTGTCTAAATAAATGGATAGAAAATGGAGATTTTCAATTTTGTTTATTCACTTTTGGTACAGTTTGAAAACTAGACTCAAACAAAGTCAACTACCCTAGAGTGCGTAAAATGTAAATATTTAATATTTATGGACCTGTAGTGTGATGGATGCAATATTAGTTGATATATAATAACAATAAACTAAATTAACCGATCGCGAGCACAGAATTTTCTTCCTAGTTATTGAAAGATCTCCTATTTAAATTTTTTCTAACCCTACTATCATCTCCTTTACATACCAGTATTTATGTTTTATTTTTATTCCATGCTCTTCTACCAATACCGCTTCCATTCTATTTAAGGCATGTAGAAATATTTATGTATATCCGTACCTGAAGTGATCGCAATTTATCGCTCTGTTATGAACATCAAATTGAAATGACCGCAATTGATTATAGTCGGAATTTTCCGACTACCCAGTTGATTGCGCATAATTAATTTTATGAAACGTTAAGGAATTTTGAACAATTTAGCGAAGACTTACCTTCGATCACAATCGACGGTAAATTGTTGCGTAAGAACGCAAGATTTCCGCATCCGGTCACCGACATCTGTAAGAGCGGTGCTCAGATCTGACGAGGAGCTTCCCGATTCCATTTGTGTGGAATTCTTTCTCGATCTCGACGGTTGGTCGGCGGCCGAAGTTGCAAAAACATCCCACGGGCATACATCTTCGGACGTGGAGACTCCTGCTACCGCAATGCTGGGCTTTTTCATACTACGACCACCAATGGGGTTTACATTAGTTGAGCTGATGTCAGGGTCTTCTTGTGTCGCCTCGTCATTTACTTCCGTTCTGTCATACAACACGGAAGAAATGATTTTCGGGTTCGATTGAAATAATAAAAAATGCACTAGGAGGATCGTAATTTGCAATGCAATTGTATATAGTTATGTAATTTGGTTTATTTGTATTCAGGTAGTATTGGTAATCTCATTTTAGCCAAGACAGTGTAAGGCGCGAAATCAAAAAGAGTGACAGATAAAAAGAAAGAGAAGATCATTTGGCGAAGCGGATAGAGTTCTACTGTGTTTTTATTTCATTGTTATCTTTTTTTCTTTATTGTAAATGTGATGTTTATTATCCGCTTCACTCTTAAATCATTGCATACAGCTTTGTGATGTTGGGACAACTACAGTTTGTGCTCAGTTACTGAAAATGTTCATCATCAAGGTACATAATAGTAAGAGGTGAAGTAAAAAGTGTTTAAGTGGAGCGTGCTCTAAAAGATCATCGTGTGCATACAGTCATACAGTGTAATAGTAGCGGCACCTGCATTTAGACTGTTGTTTGACATTTGTAGGTAAACATCCACATGTACGGATACATACATAGGTATATACATATAGCTCCAGTACTATATAACTGTGTAGGAAAGCGTAGTATTTACCATATAACGTAAAATTTGTATGAAGAGAAGAGATTTTGAATATACCTCTGTTTACCTAAAACTCGTACACAATCTAATTCCGGCGTTATTTCTGATTCGGTTATGAAAATTGTTGGCTTGGAATTTGACTAATTAATACGTTACCGAAAATATTGCGACGGTCTCTGTTTACCTCCATTTCTTTAACGAAATACGAGCTTCTACAGAATGTATATCAGCGTATCATCTTTTGACTCATCAAAGAGTAGGTTATAAATATCAATTGATATAAATATCAATTGATACAAATAACAATACATAGGGTCTTAGAAACATTAAACCTCTTGATAATTTGGCAAGATCCAGTTTTCATGAACAACTCGAACATAGTGACGTTTATTTCAAATTTTGCTGATCGTGAGTTAAATGTCTTTGAAAACTATTGGGATCCGTCAAATGGGCATACACTATCTGGTGGCAAAATGTATAACTCGAATGAGGGAAAAATTTACATAGGAACTGTGCACGGAAATTGTAAAATTGTTTATTAAAATAATAAAACACGTTAAAAAGTAAAATTTTTTTGATGATGGAGTCGACGAAGTTTTCTTCTAAAGTTAAATCAAATAAAAAGTTAATATTTTCAGTGAAAAGCTGCAATAGCACTTCAGACATAGATCTTCACTCTTCACCTACATTAACTACTTTCCAATAAAAACTAACCGTTTTATATATGTAAAAAATATATTCGGAAAATTAGAGAAAAAAGTAAACTAATAGAAGCTTGGATGAAAGCAGTAGGTATCAAAGAAGTGAATTCCGGAATAAAAATTTGTTCACGTCATTTTAATGCACATGATTATATTTCAGCAAGTATTTACCATCAGCCATAACCTTAATATTTAAAACTAGAATCATACTAAAATTATAAAGTGAGAAATTATTTATTCCTGTGTAATTGATTTAACACAATTCTAATGATACGATATAAGTATTTTGAGGTTAAGAACCTACCTGCTGCAATACAACAAAGTTGCAATAATGTGTTTGCAACGTTCTCTTAAATCGGCTTTGCACGTGCAAGTCATTGATATGATATTGCTTAAATCACCCAGAATCACCTCACCAATTATATAACGTGAATCACTTTTTAAATCCGAAGTTTGTAAAAAGTAGGCAGTAAACTTGACGGAATTTGAAGGCTAGCTTCCGGATTTGTTATTTCCGAATTTTATAATGTGATTGGCATTAAAAACACGCTCACCTTCAACGAAATTTCCTTTCCGAGGCTTTGTGTCAGCCCAATCACATATTGTGTCAATACTTATCATTTTATCGTAATTTAAAAACTTGGAAATTGCACGGTACACTATAGGAACTACGATAAATTTTCCCTAATCGGCGCCATGTTTTTAGGTTCCTCCCATTTGACGGATCCCAATTGCAAGATCACGATTGCAATGCTTGTTAGACGAGAGAATATAAGAAAAGTTTCTCTTACAAACCCGAACGCAACGTTCCTGTATTTTTGAGACACCTTTTATGTATATAGTCTGCAGAATAAATATGCGAACGAAGCTGACCTAGGAAACCACAGCTTTATGGTCTGTAATGGCAATGGGCGGGAATTTCCTGTAGCATTGGTGGCTGTAATAGATCATTAGTGGAAAGGTATAAAGAAGGGATTATTTTTTATGGTGCTATTCTGACTTTCGTCTGCGATGGAGATAGATCAAGAATTGGAAAAATAGCTCGACATTAAAATTTTTGGTGGAGCTGTCCGCTCGATCACCTCGCTAGTCGCTCTCCCTATCACCAGATAGTCTCTTTTTGTTGCAACTGCGTCAATTTATGAGGAGGGGGAATAAGGGGGGGGATTTTGAAGAGCCAGAATACCAAGGACTACCAAGGATGTTTTAAACATTGATAACAGGATGACCTTAGCTGGCGTATTTATTTCAGACTACGTATATTCAATACAGGACTTTAACAAAAGTAACCCCATTTTGCTGTTGTCGAAAGTCCACGAACTACTATTTACAATCTATTATAAGTGGACAACATAAGCAGTAAACAATGCAAGTATTAGATGGTGCACGAAGAATTAGATAGCGACACACAGAAGAAACTTTGTTAACAGCGATTCTAATCCAGCAGGCACAGTCAAGGATTACATCGATGGTTACGTTTTATAAATAGTATTTACAACACCTAAAAAAGACACTGAAAAAGAAAAGAAAACCGGTACACATTCGGACTTACGCGTTCGTTGGCGTCGCCTGGCTCTTGGACTGGCACGGTAGGTCACCTCTGAAAGCGAAGAGGTCTTGACTAACACTTATGGTAAAAGGGGTTCAGGATAACTATAATAAACTATCGTGACGAAACGTGCTTATCGTCAACGTCGTTTTACGGTAGTAGTTTTGCTCGTGATTGCGGTACATCTAGCGCGAGAACGAAGCACTTCATGCACTGCGGCAGTGATTTCAATGCAGGAAATTTCACAGCAAACTTGACAATATTATCACACAATTGAACCTCAACAGATCGTTAGGCGGAAATGAGCTGAGCCAGAATGGGATCCTTTTCAGCAATTGAGGAATGCACTCCATAACGTACATATTTCTATGCATACTATGCACACATAAAAACAGAATGAAACTTGCATCTGCCAATTAGTTATTCACGTTTTCTTTTTCAATGGAAGTCATTTTTTAAATTCTGCAAGGCTTTTTGTCATTTAGAGCAAGAAAAAGCTTTCATCATCATGGGAATATAACCTGGAATTTTTATAACGATTTTCATTTTTAACTCGTGTGTTGGTTATTGTAACATGCACATATCTACGCTATGATAAACAAATATTTTTTGTCAAGTTCTTGTGATATTTCCCGCCGAGAGCTTGCTGGTGGTTCAACCTTTTACCTGTACGGAATGTCGCTGAGATTACTTTGGGAATGAGAATGGGCAACTCTCGTGTCCTTTACCCCCGAAATTGCAAGTTCGTGTGCAGATCCAGACAGGCTTCTGTCACTGCCGCGCCTTTTTGACAAACTACCGCAAGTAATGCCACTGCCCTGAGGATTCTGCTGCTGTTGGAGGAGCGATGGATTTGGCGTGGTGCTGGTCGATGCCTTCTTTTTCGTTTGACCAAACCCGAAAAACCTATAAAAGTATCCAAAATGTAACTCATTAAGATCGTTAAATTTCTGTGGTAGTTAGTTTGTCTCTAAAGTAAAACGATAATGGTAGTCCTTTTATGTAGAATTCTTGCAATTATACGTTACTTACAGTGAATTGTGTACATGCATGCATATATGGTTTGCGATGTGTAGCGGTTTATTACGTATTTTCTCATGAACAATATTCCTTTGAAATAATTTAAATTTGGTTTGCGGTTCCGCTTCCCTATGTGTGCGATACTCGCTTTGTGGGAGAATTGGTTGCGACAGCTTTGTTCTCTCACTCACCGTTTTTTCTGAAGAGGCTGTACACCGGCGGCCAAAAGGCCTTTGAAATGTTCGGAGCGAACGAATCTTGGATAACAGTCCTTTTTCAATAGCAACGTGTACACGTGCTCTTGCGCTGCGTCGAATGTGAACCTACTCGGATTCCTCATTTCTTGGTGAACCTTTTCCATCGTTTTTCCATCGATGTTTATTTCACAAGGGGCGCCAGGTGCCAGAAATTCTCTGAATTAAAAAAGTACAATGGAAAGGAGTGTTTTCTGAAATGTTTACAGATATCTAAACGAAGTCAACGAAACTTTGTTTAACCGGTTACTTAATTTTTAATTATTTATTGACGAAAAATTAGAAGAAGTGGCTGATTTTAGGTATCTAGGAAGTTAGATAAGTTAGGACGGAAGGAGTAGTACTTCTATGCTCGCGAACGGTTAATTTAGAAATTCGAAAAAGACTGTTAAAGGTATATGTTTTGAGCGAAGAACTATACGGGTGCGAAATATGGACGATGGGACGATAGGCACTGCAGAAAAGACAAGGTTAGAAGTGTTTGAAATGTGGTGTTACAGGCGAATGATGAGGATACCGTAGATAGAGAAGGTTAGAAATAAAGAAATATTAGAAAGAATAAGAGAACAGAGTACCCTATGGAAGTCAATAAGAAATTGAGATGGGTTGGTAGGGCTCCTTCCCGGTCTGGTCAGAGACATATTAGAGGCAGAAACGGGAGTTAGGAGGGGTAGAGGTAGATCTAAATTTGATTACTGCTTGCAAATAGTTAAGGATGTGGGTTGTTCTAGTCTTAGGGAAATGCGAAAATTAGCTCAGGATAGGAAGGAGTGGAGGTGCGTGTCCAAACAGTCTTAGGACTGACGACTTTATGGATGATGATGATTGAATGTACTTTACCCCTTAACATATAAGTGGGACCTAAATGAGAATAACAAAAAGACAGTGTTTTTTCTATTATTTTTTCAAAACCTTTTGTATGTTGTTTATCTGGTTGAATTGTTTTTGTACTCCGCAGAGAGATAAAGATCACTGTGTTGTCTTGCTCTATCTTTGATGGATTATGTCTTTCTAATATTTTGACAAATTTTATCTCTTTGTTTTTAAAAAAATTGATAGTGATCCATTACACAACGGAGTGCGGGGGCTGCTTCTTGTTGTGAAATCATAGAAGGGATAGGAAAGATGGTAATGTAGGGTGAAATGGGATGGATAGTGGACCCCTATAAACATGTTTATTAATAGTGCTTTACGGTTGCGGAAAAATCTGTTAGCAATGACCATTGTAGAAGAGCACAAGCGGAAACACTTGTGATCATCCAATGTGAAAGAAGTTAGCGCCGCACAAGTGCTAAAAACCACTTTCCAGTGCTGCACAAATGTACCTAACGACATGTTGGACATTGCAGTCAATTTGTGACGCTTTGTAAGTAGAAAAGGAAAACAGTAATCGAGTCAGTTGTCATGAAAGATTTTATCTTTCTGAATTGTGCAATATTGTTTAAAAATTGAACTTGGCGCAGTATCAACGTCCTTCAATAAGGGTTAATATGATAAAGAAAAGAACAGAGGTCTTTAAAGGACTTTCCTGTAATTGTCGTAATTCAAAAAGTTAAAATATACATAAGACTGTTTTTAGTCTCTAACATTACAATGTGGGTAACTATACGTTTAACGATTCATTGATAATTGGACATCATGAGTAATGGGTGCAGTGTATTATTAACAGCTAAGTAAAGTGAGTTTATAATATTTATTATAGAGGTAGTCAAAGAAAGCGAATTCCGTAATAACTAATGACTATAAGGTAGTAAAAGAGATTTCTTTTAAGTTCATAACATTATATCGGACTACGCCTTCTTAATCTGATTCGTAATGTTTGCAACACTGGTTTGTTAAAAATCTTCTAAAAGACCAAAAGTAAGGAAAAGAAAAAGCTGTTGTAATGTAAACAGGTGTATTGATCGTAGAGTTACTTAAATTTCGAAACTTTGCATTATAAATAAACCCTAAATGGGTTTTGGATTTCAAGGATGTAGTAAATTTAAATAATTTTCCTTGAAATCAAAAACTTTGACTGTTTTGTTCCTAAATTAATTTCGATATTTAACAAATCTGAAAAGGGTGTATTTTGTATGTCTTCATCATCCTGAGATTTTCGTGACGACCTTCTGCAATATAACAGAAATAAATTTCTTTCAGTAATCGACGTTGATCTTTACTTAAAAATTGGTTCTTCGTCTGGATTTGTTTACAAGATATTATGGTTTTGTCACTAGGAAAATGGATATAAAACATAATTCTATTAGGAGGTTTAGATCGCTTTTAAACGTCCAGTTTCCAGTTACACAAACTGTTCGAAAAAGTTTTTGTACAAATATCTTTATCTTAATTGCCCGTCCCAATAACATCTCCGATTTGAAACTTTTATCGGTTTGTAAAGTACAATTGGAGATTTTAAGAGGCAAATGATGATGTATATGTAAATTCTTCACGAATTCTCAAACAAAATGCAATTTTTTTTCGGAAAATAGATTATGTTGACGAAAATTGTTTTTGTAATATCTTTTGTAGGCATTTTCAATATAAATGTCATTCCGTAACTTTATTTTTATTTCCAAGAATTACGAACGGGTAGGTTTAAATATGAAATAATTTTTTTATATAAAATGATCTAAAACACAAGGAAAAATAATATTGAGATATCGGTTTTATTGAAATATCGGTGACACTCGAATTGAGCACAGAGCGTAAGCAGGTAAACAAGTAATTATCGAGAGTCTGTTTATCAAGAAAGGAATTGAGCACAGGGATCATACGAGTAGCAATTAAAATTACCGATCATTAGAACAACATTAACGTTGTAATGTTGCCAAATATTACTGGTTTGTAAAGGGCGGGAGAAATTAATAAAAACAAGGGACTACCCTTATGCAGTTATAGTTATCATTGTCTTGTACAATTAATAACGTCTTCAATAAAATTTGGGCAGAACAGTTTTCTAGTGTCTCTAGAACAACCAACACTTGCGAGGCATTTCATTTGAAATTTAAGAAGGAAAACGTCTCTTCGCATCCCAATATCTATTTTTTTTCTAAAGGTTCTGATTGAAATTCAAACAGACACTTACATAAAAATAAATTCAGTTAACCAAGTTGAAAAAAAAAGAATAAGACGAAAAATACTGTTAAAAATCAATTTTATTGATCAAAAAATAAAGCTAACTAAATGATGGTGAAATATCAAGATACGATAAATATCGTTAGTTAAGTTGATATTATGTGTCTAATATAAAGTTGAAATATTAATTCTATAAGTACTTGTAAAAATCATTCAAAGTAAATATTGTTTTTTGTTACAACATTCCATTAGAAAATTTACTTGTTAGCTACCAACTGCTTCAAAAAGAACTCAAATCCCTACAGATATTTTAAAAGAAAGCTGGCAACATGGCTTGTGCTCAATTCGGTTGTTTATTTAAACACATGCAGGTAAGAAAATCTTTGTGCTCAATTCAGGCGTCCGTTTATGCTCAGTTCATGCTTATTAATCGTTTTTGTGCTCAATTCAAGTGCACCGGAAAGATCGTTAGTTGAATTTTCATACAGTATTGGTAAAAACGTTTCTAGTAAACAATCTGCAGATTATTATATTTGGCATTACCTGGAAGGAAACATTACAAAAAAGTTCAGAATTTTACTGTAGGTACATTATTTATAAACAATTAGATTTTTTACCTTTTCCTTGCGTTTACATAAACCTTATATACGCCTAAAATTAGATGATCATTGTGAAATTGTAAACGTAAAAGCGAAAAAGTTTTATACGTTTGTCAATCTATGTTATGATTGTATGAAATTGCGGAAAAGCGTAGCTTAATTTTCCATTATCTGCAGTGTTCTATTTGTTCTTAAACAACATCGGAAAATTAGAAATGAAATGAGCGTTCAATCAAGCGCTTATTTGATTGACCATTTAATTTCGAAATAAAACGATCGATAAGGTGTAAAGTCACGAGATTGAAAACGTCTGTACTAAACTATAAATTCTATAATATTTAGCAATTAATCAGCAGTAATTTTGTTTGACTGGGGTTAATATTTTCTTAAGGTTTAAACTCAGCTGTAGCAAAATTGAAAGAAAAGCTCTCTATATTAAATATATATCAAGCACGACAAAAATGAAATCTTTTTGTTATCGGTCCCAAATTAATAATAAATCTCAGATGTATTGTTTACTGTAGTATCCCAGAAAATTGTATTAGGCAGAATTACGATTATTGACAATTTTAGATTACATTTGTACGTCTGTTAGGTGAAAAGTTTTCTCATTATGATATGTAACTATGATGTATGCCTGAGTTGTTTCATTCCTGCTTCTAAGTTGGTTAGTAATTCGTTGTTTTGTTTTTTAAATTAGTTTTGCTACGGTTTTCATTAATTTTGAAGTGCGCAATATCATGGAATTTATAAAAAAAGTCACATCTCTATACAATTTTAGATGTGAAATATTGTCGCAAAATTTGAAACGTTAATAGTACATCTTTCTTCCACTAAGGGTCCATCAATGGACTGAAGTTAGGCCCTTTTATTATTATTACAATTTTATTTATTTGCACAATAAAAAAAGATATATTCTATGCTAAATTTTATTGACTTTTATATTATTTTGCACTATTTATTATATTTATACTAATTTATTCAATTTTGAAAACGTTTTTAATGAAAATATTAAATGAGGAATCATTGTAGACTAAGTTTTCGATATATTAAAAATTATAAATTGATAGAGGAATAAATGTTATCGATTGCAGTATTTTTTATATGAAATTTGATAATAAAGATATGATATGTTAAGTTAAAAGTAGAATAATTGGCCTAATATTCGATTTTTTTTCTATTAAAAATTGCCAATTATTCAGCCTTTTGTGCTTACTAACGCCCTCTCTTTATGCTTTAAATTTTATGATAAAAATTTTAACCCTTAGATGTGATTGCTTCTTATAGGCTCCATGTGTACGAGGATGCTGATTTATTTTTCAGCTTATTTTGCCGTTTGTCAACTGACAAATGCCAAAATGTTTTTTTTTTCAGTCTCGTTAAATAACGAAGCCTGAGAAACAATTTTATGTAAGCATTTGCCGCATTTATTCTATAAAAAGAAACTCTTATTAAACAGAGATTTAGGTAAACAATATAAGAAAAAGGCATGAGGCACAGTTACGACTACTTAATTTTTTCGTAGTACTTTTTTGCTCCTGTTTTTCTCTTTCTACTTCGTCTTGAAGATTAGGACAACAAATTCCCAAAAGATAAATTTAAATGATTACTTAATTTAATTGGACACATGGGTCACAAGCATAAGTTAATCGGAAAATGAGCCATTCGAGCGTCAAACTTTTCGTCGTTTCCAAAACTTTTTGTAGGGAATTTCGTGTTCTATAAAAATGGGCCTAAACCATCCTCACTAGTCTAATTTTCCCAACGGAAACTAAATTTCAGAGTGAATCATGAAATTTCACGTAATTTTTTATTCTTGTGCTACCCTACAGCCTACACGTATATACAGGTAAAAGATTCACCTAACATAGAAATCACACATTTCTTCATCAGCATCTTTTCTTCTTATGTGGCAATTAGTAAATGAGGGGAATGCTTTCAAAGAGTGAAGTTTTTTGTTGCAGCATTTAATCATATTAGAAGAGAAACAAATTACTTCGAAAATATTCATGGGGATATTTAGGACAGTTCTTGGGGTCTTTCCTCCTTCCCCTTGTCATTATCTGCTAATATGTTGCGATCAGTTTTAGGATGTGAAAGCTCAAAATGTAAGTCTGGACGCGTGTAAAATACAAACCCTGGGTATGCGAAATATGGTGTTATAGGTAAATGATGAGGATAAAGTGGGTACAAAAGGTTAGAAATGAAGAGGTATTAGAAAGAATAGGAGAACAAAGGACTCTATGGAAGTCAATAAGAAATAGGTGAGTAGGTTGGTAGGACACCCTCTCAGGCATGAAGGTCTAGTCATAGACATATTAGAGGCAGAAACGGGAGTTAAGAGGCGAAGGAGTAGACTTAGATTAGATTATTATGCGCAAATAGTTAAGGATGTAGAATGTTTTAGTTTTAGGGAAATGCGAAGTTTAGCTCAGGATAGGAAAGAGTGGAGGTACGTGTCCAACCAGTCTTAGGACTGACGACATTATAATGATGATGATGATGATGGGAATACGTAACTGATACATAGCAAAAGTATTCTCTATGAACTTTGGAAGGGAGGAGGTAAAAAATCGAACACTAGAGAAGAAGCTGACGTAACCTAACCCAACCCTGACTAAATCTAACTTATTTATGAGTGATTATTGTGTAGAATATCGATTTTACTATTATATATACATATTCCCAAATAAGTTAGACATGAGTTAGGTTAGGTTGGGTTAAGTTATTCACAAAAAAGCTTAGATATGAATTAGGCTAGGTTAAGTGTGTTTATTTTTAATAAATCCATACGATGACTTACTTCTTCGATTTTTTGTATGTATAGTCGTATGAATTGCTTATGTTTGCCAATTCTTACATCTCTCTTCTCACGTTAACAACAGAAATAACTCTCAAAATTGGCGGTGTTAATAAAGTTTCGCTTAAAAATAGAGCCATGCATGCAGTCGATTATTACTTACTCGAATATTTCGTTCACTTTTCGTTGTATCTGCGACTGAGCTGACCTCCTTAGATCGTTGACAGCCATCCAAAATCTAATATTCTCGTGACTATATTCCTTTCGTAGGTAGTTAGTGAACTCCTGAACGCCGGTCGGGTCCGATATTAATTCTTCGATCGAAATTGCCCACCTTTTTATCCTTTTTTCAGTCGGAGCTTCCACCCTAATGAAGGTAAAAAGTACGTGTTGAACCTTTTATGAGCCTTTGCACAGAAGCCAAACGTCGCACACGAAAATTCGACTCTCTGATACCTTCATATGCGAATAATTAAACAACAAAGGTTTATGAATAAGTAAATATAGGTATAAATGGTTATTGTGAAAATGAAGCGAGTTGCGGAGCGAGCGTATAGAGCTAATTTAAAATGTAGCTTTTTGGTTCCTTTCAACTTTTGGAATAGACGCGGCACGTGGATGAATTATTAAAGAATTTTTCCGTTAATTCCGCATTTCTACTAGGATAAATATTAAAAATATTAAACGTAGGGAATTCGTATTGCATTTCACAGTGAAACAGTTCCAAGTCTGATGTTTGAAATATCTACTTAGTATTGTAGCGAGCACGAGTGTGTTTGTGTGTGATCGGCCACACGTGTGCGTGAACGACTTATCGATTCGCCGACTAGCCGCGGGCGCCTTTCTTCATGTGCGCCGCATTTGTAAATGTGTGTGTCGTACCTGCGTTCTGGGAAAGCAGTTAAACAGTTCAAAGAAAAAATAAACTATCCGGACGTTTTCCAGAAGGTTCCCGAAAGTAAACAAAACAGTATTTAAAGGAAGAAACGATCGCCGAGAGGGAAGAAATAAATTGACCATTGCAGAAGTGAATCCAGAAATAAATTGACAGTGATAGCAGTGGAATAAAAAGCGCAGTGAATAGTGATATATCAACACTAGTGTTAATAAATAGAATAATTCATAACCTAAGTTTAGTAATAATTTAATAGTGTTTTTTTTAATAACCAGTGTAAATAAATAGTTTTTGTTGTTATCAGTTTTAGAAGTAAATTTTGTTAAACCAACGAACATTACAGTATAATATCAGAAACGCATTTTTCAAACCTCAACCTTAATGTAACTCTTACAATCAGTGACAATTGCACTGAAGTAAGAACGTTTTCAGTCGGCTTGTCAAAAGGAGGTTCGAAATTATTCTACTGTACTTTTTTGTGTGCACGGTACGCGATTTCTTCGCCGATTGTGAACCGATTTTAATGACTTTTTTATTGAATAGGCTATATCTCCAGGGTGGTTCCATTTAATTTGAAGAAAATATTCCACTTCTCTCAGGATAGAAAATTAAAGAATAATTTCCGTTTTTAACTTTTCAGGTTACTTTCATGCTTATAGACAAAGTTATTTAAATTATAGACACTACAATTACCACCTGTCTTCTTTTCACAAGAGCGGCACTTATTCTAACGGTTCATTTTCTTTTTTAAATAAAAAAGCTCGACAAAAACAATAAATCTGCAAAAAAGTTCGCTAAAAATAATACCAATTTAAAGATCTAGATACCATTTCAGAAAAACACACTGAATTCTATAAATATCAGTGTAAATTTTTATCTATTTTAAAATATTCCATTATTCGTTAAAAGCTGCAGACGTAGCGATATTTTGCCATTTTCTTCTTGACTTTTCCTGGTTTGAAATATACTGAGTGGGTTAAAATAGTTGATCAAGAAGTAAAAAAAAAAATGCTTACCACGGACTATTCATTTGCCAGTAGGTGATGTCATCGCTGACCCATGGATTGGATGGCTGTATTCCGGTCACCATGGGATCGTATTCCGCGAATGTTTCAACATATTGCACCATGTTCTCTAAAGCTTGCGAAGTCTTTATGCGGGTTCGGAGCAAACTGTTTTTGAGTAATTCCACCTTTAATCGAAACGTAATCATGTAATTATTAAAACCACTTTTTCGTGGTAGTAACTGTTGAACTTGTTGTATACCTCTCGTTTACAATCGTCCATGGTTTTCTTTCGTAATCTGGTCCCATTTCTACACCTGGTGGGCACGGGACACTGTTCTAAGGAGCTAACTATTCCCGGGGGTGGCCTGTGGACACGCCAGTATGCTCTTTCCTGTGAATCCGTCACTATTTTTTCACCCTTCTTGTAACTTTTCGCTCTTTTAACCTGTAAATTGCATAAATAATGCCATCCTTGATAGCTATTAGCTAATATAAGATAAGTGTTTGATAAGTGAAATCATTAATCAAGCTTATCTCAGTATTGGTTAATTAAAGAAAGATCGATTTATCATAATTATCTAATTTAGTATTTTGTCCGCAAGTGCTGCAGAACACTAAACAATAAGCAATCAATAATTAGCTTCTGAACATTTGAATCTATGTAAAGCCTCTGTCTGCTGAGCATACGCTATTTTTTTACTTGTTACGTATACAGGGAGTTTATTAAATGTGATTATGTAATGGCGCTGATATAGAAACAGCTCACGGATACAGTTAGCCGCATGCGCAGACATGCCCCCCCATTATACTAACGTAACAGGAAATTCTAAAATGATTCTTGCACAAAGAAGGCTCTGATTACGCGGATTTAAAGCAACGACTTTCGACAATATATGGAAAACATCATTGTGATTTTATGACGAACTAATTAAGCATTTCGGGCAATTCAAATTTTGAAATTGTAGCTTTATTTTTTTAAATTTGCAGAACAGACAGAATACGCGCCGCTACTGTTTCTAATGATTTTTTTTTTGAGAATACACTACTTTCGCATTTCTGATTTTTAATCAATAAAATAATCAACCTAAGCAATTTTTGGTTTTAGCAAGCAGTACTAGAATTAAATGGATTAAAATGGTAAATACATGTTTTCGTAAGCACTTTAATGATACAACAGTTCTTGGTACCCACAAACGAGTTGCTACGAAAAAATTGGCGAGATAGGGTGGTAGGACACCTTCTCCGGCTTGAAGTTTGGTCAGAGACATATTAGAGGCTGAAATTGGAGTTGGGAAGGGTAGAGGCAGACCTAGATTAAATTATTATTGTTCACAAATAGTTAAGCAGTAGAGATCTAATGCAGAGGATAGCGCAATGTCGAATCGTTTTCAATAAAAAGAAGTCACTTCTATGCTCGCGAAAGGTTAGTTTAGGAATTTGAAAAAGGTTGTTAAAGGTGCGGTTGGAGTGTGGCGCTGTACGGGTGCGAAACATGGACAGTGAGCGCGGCGGAAAAGAGAAGGTTAGAAGCGTTCGAAGTGTTGTTGTTACAAATGATGAGGATATCATGGATAGAGAAGATTAGAAACGAGGAGGTATTAGAAAGAATAAGAGAACAGAGGACTCAATGGAATTCAATAAGAAATAGGCGAGATAGGCTAGTAGGACACCTTCTCAGGCATGAGATACAACAGTTATCCTAGAATATTTTGAAAATATTCTATCTACAACTGTTATTTGTTACTTTTGTTTACCTGTTCCTCCGCCTGCAGAGTAATAAAATCCCATTTATTTGCCAAGTTTTTCCTCAGATTTCCCAGATTTTCTAGTTCATATTCTTCTAAACCATGCCGTTGTTTATTCCTAAGTGTCCTTTTGGCGAGGTAAATTGCATATTCAATATTGTCGGGTGGCTTATTTTGCCATGGCCAATAATACGCAGACTGTAATAAAAAAATTAAAAAAGAAAACTTATCGTACAGGTATGTACTGAGCGATACTTATACATATATGGATAAGTTGCGAATTTCTATTGTATCTACTTGAAAATATAGCTATTTATTTCATTGGAAAATAACTTTTTATTTAGAATTTGATATAGTTTTCCGAGAACTCACTAATTGCTTTCGAACGAACAATGCACAAAGGAAAGTTTACATAAGACGGAGGGAAAATGTACCTGAAACCTATAGAGAGAGCTGTCATCCTTAACAACCAGGTTCTTGGAATCACTAACTGGAAAAAAGTATCCATATTGACACATCTGATTCGCTAGATTGAGTGCCTCTGCGGAAAAAGAAATATATATACGACACTAAGCATATGAATACAATAGGCGGTTACAAAAAAAAACTAAACATTGTCTTACAGTATTAATTATTATTAAACATACCAGATTCTTCTATTCCAAGGCGCTCCATCAGCCATTCTATCAGATCGTAACCTAAAATATAAATTTAATGAATCAAGTTTAAAATTGTGTTGACCAAATTTTATATTTATCACAATGGCCAAATTTACTCGTTTTCTTACCGCTTTTTGAAGTGAAACTTCTTTACGCACGGTAGAGTAAGTTCGTTTCATGTGAGTTGCTATGTAACGAAATCATGCAATGCATTTCCCCCGCTGTCTGTCCCTATGTATGCTTGGATCTTTATTACTACGCAACGCATTTTAATGCGGTTTTTTTTTTTAATAAATAGAGTAATTCAAAAGGAAGGTTTATATGTATAATACATGCATAATATAGTAGAGAAACACTGATAATTTTAGAGGCTTGTAATGAGATGTCGTAAATTTNTTTTTTAATAGATAGAGTAATTCAAAAGGAAGGTTTATATGTATAATACATGCATAATATAGTAGAGAAACACTGATAATTTTAGAGGCTTGTAATGAGATGTCGTAAATTTTTTTTACGCTTACATTGCAAACGCGGGCTGAACCCTATGAGATAGATCAGAATAATGTAGTACAGTATTGAACACCTTAAAATGTTCTACAAAAAAGTCCTGGATGGTATATGTCTATCTCTTAGGGATAACCCACAATAACCATTTTTTATCGTTTACTTTTTACGAGAAATAATGGCTTATTTACGAAGCGATTTTAACCAACACAGCATTAATCATTATCCAATTAAGTACCTTAATTACATTGTGCATTTACTATAGATCAATAAAGCTCTTTACAGCATGTAATTTAAATGAATATTTTCGAAAATATTACCAACTCAAAACGCAGGGACATAGCGGTTGCGGCGGTATCGTCCGGTTTGTATTGTCTAATGACAAAAAAGCTGTGATTGTTGTATATAAAAATAATACCATTAAATCAATTCCTTAACCCCTACCCCGGTATGTTTGTGTGTTTGAAGAAGTTTCACTTCAGTAGCGTGTTGCATTTTTTTTTTTAATATCTCAGGTCTTAGCTTGATCGTAAAATTTTGGAACGTTTCTTTTGTTAAAAGATAATAGTTTTCAATTTTCAAAAGATATTTCTCAAAGAACAGAATGAATTTAAATGCTCATTCAACTTGGTAATTGTATAATGAACAAAGAAGGCTAAGTTAACATTTCCGTTTCCCTTTAGCTAGGTCAACACCTAGGGTTGAAGTTAAATTAAAAGCACCGGAACGCTTTCTTCATGGTAGTAATAACTACCATTCGTTATCTTTTAGACAGTCGATTCATTATGTATTATTGAATTCAAAGCTTTCGTTTAATATGCGTTTTAATAGAAAGGCAAATTCTTAAATATCTTCTTCTTTTGGAGTCTATTGAAAGATATACCTCTAGTCGCTTCAGTTTAATTTTGCCGGTTTTGTATTATAAAGTCAAAATTGTAAATGTTTTAATTTATTATTTATTAGTAGAACAGTAAATCTACGAACCCGTATACCTACCACACGGAAGAAAAGATGCCCTATTTTTCTCAGTTAATCGCAGGTAATGAACACTGCTACTTTATAAAATTTGTGTGTCTTTCTCTCTATTTAAACAGTTTGTAGAGCGTGTCTCTCTTTTATTAGCTGTGAATGTCACTTATATTATTTAAGATTCATGAAGCAATCGGTACTTAAGAACTTAATGAGGGAGAAACTCTACAAACTGTTTAAATAGAGACAAAGATACACAAATTTTATAAAGAACCCGCAAGTACTAGCTACTAAATTTATTGTTGCAGTAATAAATAATAAAATAAAAGATTTACAATATTGACTTTATAATCCAAAATCGGCAAAATTAAACTAAAGCGACTACACCTGGTAATATCCCTTTGGTATCTATAGTATAATATAAATTAATTCAACTTATTTCGATGATATTCATCAATCAACAATTCAGTTTACTTACTATTTTAAGAAAATAAATTAATAATAGAAGTTTATTATTTATGCCTATTCATACCAAACAATTCTTTTATAGCGTGTTGGAAAATTAGAAAAAACACAACGGCTTTTTGGTTTTACAAAGACTACGAAATGGTATCATTAATTATAAGTAGCGACGCAATGTAAATAAATGAGCTTCAATAACAACAAGTATTCCGTAAAGGGATAAAAGAAACTCAAATATCCACTAATACGTCTTTTGTTATATTGTTAAAATTTGTTTGATGTCGCTTATGCCTATTCATACCAAACAATTCTTTTATAGCGTGTTGGAAAATTAGAAAAAACACAACGGCTTTTTGGTTTTACAAAGACTACGAAATGGTATCATTAATTATAAGTAGCGACGCAATGTAAATAAATGAGCTTCAATAACAACAAGTATTCCGTAAAGGGATAAAAGAAACTCAAATATCCACTAATACGTCTTTTGTTATATTGTTAAAATTTGTTTGATGTCGCTTTTGCCTCTTTGTGTATTACAAATAGAGGGCGATATTAGTCATTACATTGTAACGTGGGTGACTCATAGTTAACTGAAATATACGCTGTAAAGAAGTTAAAATCAACTTTACCACTTTTATATATTTCACTGTTTAAGAAAACAAGAGCGTAGTGAATTTCATCAATCAATCAATCTTTTTATGCAATTGGAAATTTTTCTTATGATACTTAAAATAACAGAATCTTGAATTATTTTATCTTTAAGTAATTCCTTATTTAGATTATGCTATTTTGATGTACAAAAATTGTTTTTGGCACCGTAATCAATTCTACCACTATAAATACCATTTCATAATTTTAAAAAGGATTCAAGCGTCTGTCGCAGTTATTTACGTCATCATAACAAGGATTCCTCCTCGAACAAAAAATTAGTTGAAGTGAATTAAAATTAGAATCCTTTTTATTATCCTTTGTCTAGCTCCTTCAACTTCCCAATGGTCTCGTTTAACACACTAGTACACTAGTACAGTAGTAAACATTCTTCTAAAGACTACTTATATTTGCAATAATGACATTGCATGGTAGAAAAAGCTACACTTAAGTTCTTATGTGTATTCCTATACTTTTTCGTTTAGGTATATTACAAAAGTTTGTAGTGCACTCTGGTATTTAATAATAAAGGTACAATTTAGCAGACAGAATTCGTTTTAGTTATTTTTGTAACTAATAGATAGTTTTTTTAGTTAGAAAACCGAAGGTATTAATAATGGGAGAAATCACCAATCTTCTTTTAACATATAGGTACTGAAAACAGGGCAAAGTAATTCATATACGTATACACGTGAAAGAAAAAATGTTAGGGATACTTCGTTTACTTTCTGTAGCGATGTGACCTTCAGTTTGACCGGCGCAAAGTAGAAAAGAACAGATCTAGGCCAGAAAAGGAAGGAGACAACTCTCGGCGAAACTCTTAACCGGTGAGGAGCGTATAATCCGTACAGTACTGAACGGAGAAATTGACCAGTTTATCCACTACAATTGCATTGCTCAAATGTGCTGTTATTAGTACCATTTACTACTGAAAATATCAACGGGATGTTTATTTGTATTTGAAGATATATTAAAAGGCTTTAACGCTTGTTTTCGACTACCACTACTATTCATGATTGAATAAAACTTTTGGCGGGTACTGTATGAAAAAGTATGTTTAATGAACAAGAGTCGAGAGTATAATGAGCTTTTTTCTCCCTACCTACGATTTTGCCAGCGCGCATCCAAGACATTGGAAGGGGCACATCGCTAGAGAAAGTAAATGAAGTGTACATGTTTTAACTTATAACTTAACTAATAACGGATTCAGAGCATGAAGAAAAACAACACATTAAAGAGACTGTATGTACTTTCTGTTAAGTTATCGGGAGATTACATTTACGTCATCGTCATATGTATGTAGTCGTAGTGAACTAATCTAATCGAAGTGGTAATAGATTGCATATTTAATGTCAAAAATACGATGTATGTTATGCTCGGAAATTTAAGGTTGCATTGTTTCAAGTGTACAGGGTCGTCTTAAAACCCCGGGAGACCAAGCGATTGCCCGGGCGGCATTTTTGGAAGAGCAGCCGAACCGGGTACAGATTTACCTTTTTAGGTTCAAGGTTTTGTATTTACTAAGCAAAAAATCAGTTATGCGGTTCATTAAAGCTAGAAAATCTGTTTGAATTTTTCATTGATATTTATTTTGTTTAATTTTGAACTGTACGACAATTTTTGTTTGTAGATATTAGGTATATTTGCATAAATAATAATTTTAAAAAAGTTTTTTACATCTATATATACATGAAAGCCAAAATTTCAAAGGGAGGCTATTTTTTAACAGTTTGCCCGGGGCGGCCATAACTCTAGAGACGGTCCTGCAAGTGTAGTCAAGTAATGGGGTGAATGTAATCCATAATAGCATATTTTGTACGCAGCTGTATGAAAAATAGTACTCCTCCGTATGTCGTTGAGTAAATGGACTGTAGAAAGATCTCAATGATGTTACTGAATGTATATGTTCACATTTGTGTTGGTAACATGTACGTAGTCTGGTATTTTATACCATTCGCACATTGCCTGCTCATACTAGAGATCAGCTTTAAACCGAAGTCTTTATAAAAATTATTGGAGCAAGTAGCTCAAGGCAGTTTTTAAACAATACAAAATTCTACTTTAAATGCGAAGTTTTCAACTCTTATCGTGGAAATACTTCATTCATAAATGCCCGAAGCACTGTTTTAATTGTGCGAAGAAATGGGGGATTTCATATAAATGTTTGATTTTAAATTAACGAGCTGTAGACGATATGAATGAATAAGTAGATACAGCGACTGTGGACATGTGACCTAGGAAGAGACTTTTTGATTTTTCAGATATCACGATGGATGAAAAATGAAATTCGACCCTTACCTAATGATTTATGGGACAAGGGCAGCGACTTGACTTTTGGCGGAGTGTTGCAAATTGATAAGGGAGCAGAATCTAAAGATGCGTATACATTTGAATTTGAACGCGTTCGAGGTAAGCCAAGGCGCAACAAATACGTCTACCGTGAACGAGGAAATGAG